ATCTCGGCTCACTGCAAGCTCAACCTCCTGGGTTCACGCCATTCTCCTGCCTCAGCCTCCCAAGTAGCTGGGACTACAGGTGCCTGCTACCATGCCCGGCTAATTTTTTTTTGTATTTTTAGTAGAGACAGGGTTTCACCATGTTAGCCAGGATGGTCTTGATCTCCTGACCTCGTGATTAACCCACCTCGGCCTCCCAAAGTGCTGGGATTACATGTGTGAGCCACCGCACCCAGCCCAAAATATATATTTTTTTATTATAACAGTATCACAATGGGAGAAGAGTATTTCAGGTGGAGGGAACAGCAAGTTCAAAGGCCCTGACGTGAGAGCAGTGTGGATATCTGGAGTGTTCATGGAGTGGCAGAGAGGCCTGTGCTGCCGAAGCCAGGTGAGGAGGAGGTCACTTTGGGTAGGGCCTTGTGAAGACTCTGGCTTTTATTCTGAGTGAGACTGCCTCCCAGACTGGTCTTTCCATTAAGAATGGCTTGACAGACTACGAGGATGAGACAGTGCTTAGATGCTCAGAAAAACTGCCTGGGATAGAGACACTGACAGCTGCTCTGACTGTGGGACAAAAATGAAGACTAGACCGGGCGCGGTGGCTCACGCCTGTAATCCCAGCACTTTGGGAGACTGAGGCAGGCAGATCACCTGAGGTCGGGAGTTTGAAATCAGCCCGACCAACATGGAGAAACCCCGTTTCTACTAAATATACAAAATTATCCAGGCATGGTGGTGCCTGCCTGTAATTCCAGCTACTTGGGAGGCTGAGGCAGGAGAATCACTTGAACCTGGGAGGCGGAGATTGCAGTGAGCCGAGATCATGCCATTGCACTACAGCTTGGGCAATAAGCAAAACTCCATCTAAAAAAAAAAAAAAAGGTGAAGACTGAAGAGTATATAGAAGGACAAGCAGGTGGAGAAGGAAACTTAGGGCCTAAACACAGATGAGGGGAAAAGAATAGACATGCAGGCCGGGCGCAGTGGCTCACGCCTGTAATCCCAGCACTTTGGGAGGCTGAGACGGGCAGATCATGAGGTCAGGAGATCGAGACCATCCTGGCTAACACGG